ACTGGAAAATTAAATGTTACACTATGAAAGAATATGACATTTCTACCGCTAATTTCTTAAGTAATTAAGGTACAATGTCATACAGTTTGCATGATGTGCTGACACAAACCTATAACGATAGTTAGACGAAGAGATGATAACTTCATAATTAATTAAGGTGCTAGCTTAGCCAAGGTTTATTTTATTTTAATTTTCTTTTTCTTTTCTGACTTGATAAACTCGCAAGCAATGGCTTTTCGTGTTGGCCAATTGAACCATACCCATCATATATTTAGGACTTAATTAATGAATGTCACAGTGATTCAATTGGATCTCTCACATCGTTCAGATAGCTTAATGCCAGCTTAGGCACTAGTTGGGGTAATTGCTATTAGTGTGACGTTACAAATAGCGTGCTCAATGTCCATCCATCGTGAATAGATGAGAATATTTTCTAAACATACCTTATTATTGTTGTTACCTCCTAATTCAAGAATATCTAGCTTGACTTCAGCGTTAGATATAGGTTGAAATGATGTAAAGATTCATAAAGATTGGTTAGATTTTTTAAACATAAGAAATTGAATTACATACATTACCAATGTAAATAATGCATAAAGTAGATTCCAATGCCATAAAAATTATCTATAGACTAAATTCTTATGCATAATGGGTTCATCCAAACTTTATGAGAGAAATTAGGGATGGCAACAGAGGCCGAGGAGTAATCGTTATACCGTGGACCAGGATCCACAGTGCATTATGGGCCTTGGTCCTAAACGACGTAGTTTTGAATTTTAATTTTGACGGCGATCATTTGTTGTTCAATTCATGTTACAATTTTTTTTATTACTGTAAAACATGTGTATGTGTCTTGTATTATTGGTTTCCGTGTCTCATGTTATGCAATTCTGCACCTTAAGCGTATGAATTTTGTACCTGAAATAGAGTAAATATAACATGCATTTTTGTGTCTTGTGTTATGTGTTTTTGTGTTTTATGTTATACAGTTCTATACCTTAAGAATATTGATTTTGTACATTAACTAAAGTAAATATAAAACATGTGTATGTGTCTTGTATAATGCGTTTCGGTGTCTCATTTTATACAATTTTGTACCATAAGCGTATGGCCGGATTCTGTTCCTGAAATAGATTAGTAGTTGTGTAACACACAACATATTGTGTGTCTTAGTTTACAAATTTATGTCTTATATTATGAAGTTATGTGCCTATAGGACATATATTATTTACATAAATCAAATTTGAGAATAAGTAAATATATAACATGTGTATGTTTCTTGTGTTGTGAGTTTTTCTGTCTCGTGTTATGAAATTCTGTACCTCAAGAGTATTGATTTTGTACCTAGAATAAATTAAAATTTGTGTTGAAACATGAGAAACGAGAAACCATAGAATTTGTTTGTTGAATTTGAAAGATCCAAATGCTTGGTGGATGGAAAATAACAATCACCCGCCAGTTAGGCGAAAGCAATATAATGATGAAGAATCAATGAATGAGAAAATATATATTGTACGAAAGTGAATAGAAGGTCTATAAATTTATGTTAGAAAAGGAAATACACAACCCTATAAATACATGCCAATAGTTATGCTGTGGAACCGTGTTGACCATGCGCATGGTGAACACGGGATATATTCATAATTTCTATACTGTAGATTCATAATTTCTATACTGTAGATTCATAATTTCTGTACTGTAGATTCATATATAATATCTATACTACGAAGACGAAATAATGCGATTTGCGAAGAGAGAAACGCCGTTAACAACAAATAAAAAAACAAAATTATGAATCTACAGCATAGAAATTATGAATATTCCCCTGTGTTCACCATGCACATGGTAAACATGTTTCCACATCATAATTTGCGAATACATGCTAGAAGACTTCTAAATTCTAATAAGGAAATAAGTTTCATTATGACTAACTACTCAAAACCCTAAAATTCCAAGCTGCCTAATATATATAGATTCCATATTACTTATATATTTAAAGCTTAAATATCAAAACAACGTCGTTTTCATCTAAGATCCATAATGCTATGTAAATCTTAGTCCACGATATAAATTGTTGTTGGCAAGAGAAGTATATGTCCCTGAAACCACACCTCGATCCCCATCCCTACCACCATCCCCGTCAAGGATAAGAAATCTTTCTCCATCCCTATTACCAATTATGATTTAGTCAAAAAAAAAAAATAATAAATTGAAGTAATAGTCGGACTAGTACAATTCATAATATTTAATTTAAAATTTTAAAATATTAAAATTTTAATGTTTTTTTTTTTGAAAGTTACTGGCTCTATTACATTGTAGTATCTGTTCATATACTTTCTCAACCTACTGAAACACAATGAACCAATAACGCCTCCACTGAAACTTGAACTCATAATCTTCCAAATGAAAGTCCAACCCGGGTACCATTAGACCACATAGTCCTGGTTAAAATTTTAATGTTAAAATACTTAAATCTTCGTCAATCTCAATAACAACAGAAATGTCAAATATAATATTAAAATAAATTTCATACAAATAAGTAAATACACATTTACAAAATGTCAATACATCCAATATCCAAATACAATACAAATTATCTACATCATTCATAATAATAATAATAATAATAATAATAATAATAATAATAAACCCACATGTGCAGCTCAACTGATCACAGGTGAAACTTTGGAGGAATGACCAGGGATTGAGTCTCACCGGCGGCAGTGTCGGAGAGCCTCTGTGGTTCATGTTCAGTTGAGTTACCATGATTTACATCCTCCCAAATGCTCTGTCGGGTCGGGGTGTGGGGCGCCCTTAGGGTTGGGGTTCGGCCTTTCGGAAAAATAATAATAATAATAATAATAATAATAATAATAATAATAATAATAATAATAATAATAATAATAATTATTATTATTATTATTATTATTATTATTATTATTATTATTATTATTATTATTATTATAATATACTCCACGTGTGTATAGTAATTTTTTCTTTTGAATGATTATTACCTTTTTATACTTTAATTTAAAAAAAATACTAAAATATAATTCTTGAAGTCTTTTTTTTTTTTTTTCTTTTTTATGATCAAGTGAAACAACTAAAATGAGTGTTTGGTAAACATGGTTTGGATTGAAAATGAAAAATTATTTTGAGTATCTTAGTGATATGAGCTTATTGCATTTGCATTTAAAACTCTAATTTACTCCTAATCATTATTGGTTATTGTAGCAGTTATATTTATGCAATTTTACATTTTTAATATCATTAGAACTCTCCTAAGAGTCTGACATCTTAATTAACTCTTGTGTTAGGATATTTTTTAATATATAATTGTGTTGACCTTTATGCTGAATTATTAAATTATTAATAACTTATGTTTACTTTATTTTTATTTGAATTTATATTTTAATATTTAATTTTTATTTGAATTTATATTTTAATATTTAATTATTATTCACTATGGAGTATTTGTTAATAATTATAACATTATTAATAAAAAAAATAAAAAGTTATAGTTAATAATTAATAATAACAACAACAACAATAATAAATTATAAAATTAATTTAAAAGTTAAATAACATGATATTATATACTTATAATTCATTCAATTCAAAGTAAACATCTAATTTTTATAACTAGTTAATACTATCTGTGATCAAAATAATTAATACAATCATGTATCAACTAATTGTAAAACATCTCAAATTATAAATATATATGTGTACAGGCAATCATTAGCTTTTTTTTTTTAGAAGAGAGGAGCACATCATTTAATTTGATTCTAATTTTTACAAGTTGAGAAATTGTAATTCAATGGATTGCTATTTCTTTAAAACGGTCACTTTTTAGTTTTTAGTTAGAATTATAAGTGGGATGGTTTAATTGTATAAATTTTTTATTCAATGATCCTATTATACAAAGTAGGAAAGTTTGATAAATTATTTTACTTTTTTTTTTCTAATTATTAATTAATAACTAAAACTAAAAGTGTAAAAGAATTGATTGAAAATTAACTCGATTGTTTTTACTTTTAAATTTTTAGGAGAAATCAACATTTTGGTCCCTCAAATATTTTCCAACTGTCAACGTAGTTTGTAGTTTTCAATTTTAACCAATTTGATCCTTGAATTGTTTAAAACCCTTTCATGGACTAAATTAACAAAATTTTAAAAATATGAAAATTATCATTTTAGTCACTGAAAGGTTTAATTGACAAAATTTTAACCAATTTGATAATTAAATTGGTTAAAATTGAAACTTGGAGGGGTGGTTGAGTGGAAAGGATTTATTCATCCTTAACCAAAGGTCAAGGGTTCGATCTTTGGCTTTGGGAATGGAGCAGTTGTACCATAGATCATTTTAATTACGCTTCATTTTTATTTGACAATATTGCTATGTTTTTTAGTTTCATTTTCCCTCCACACTAATTTTATTTCATTATAGTAATACTAAAGTATTATTTTAATTTTATTATAGTTTCATTTGATAATACACATTATTACTTGAACTTTATTTTTTTTTTTTGTTTCCTTTTTTTCACACACTAGTTTAAGTTTAATTATAGTAACATTAAAATATTATTTTAATTGCACTCCAATCTAACAATATATGTTATTGTATGACTTTAGATTTTAGTTTCATTTTCCATTCACACTAGTTACATTATAGTTTCATATTATAGTAACACTAAAATATCATTTTAATTGTATTTTTTTTGCGTACTACTGACTCTATTACATTGTAGTATCTGTTTATACATGTGAACATACTTTGAACATACTTTTTCAACTTGTTAAAGCACAAAAAATTAATACCACCTTCACTGAGACTCAATCTTATGACCTCCCATATAAATATAAGAGAATCACTAAATGGCGTTTTAATAGTATTATAGTTTCATTCGACGATAATGATCCACACAGCAGCGATATGTGTGGAGCATGGTCCACGGTATAACAGCTGACAATAGGCGAGTGACATTATTATGTTTAGAGCTACTAAACAGATAATAAAATCCGCGCAGTTAACACGCCTTCTTCTTCGACTTCCACACCACAAACCCAGCCAATTTTGTCCTCTCTCTGATCTTCTTCTTCTCAACTCCTCATAAAACCTCACCATGAAATTCCCTTAAAGCCCACAAATCCTGGCTATGGTCATGCAAACCCCACTTTCATCGACGCTGAGTGCCCAAAACCACCCATTTTTGCATTCAAGATCAAGAATTTCGCTTCCCCATTTTGTATAATTTTAATCTTGGAGTGTTTGTTTGAGCTGGAAATCAAACAAAAAAGTTGAAGCCTTTGGGTGAGTTGTTGTTATCATGGTTTCTCTGGAAGATTCTCGGTCTCTCTCGAATTCTAGCTCCAACAGGTTCAGCCAAACGCGGCCTTGTTACTACTACACTCCGCCGCCGCCGTCGTCCATCAAAATCCACTGGTCTATGGGCCGCTCCATGCGCACTTTCCGGTCTAATCTTTATCAAGCCGGCGGGGATGGTTCTGAGAACTCCGGCGATTTATCCGAGAATCTGAGCGATTCGGTTGTCGATGTCCGTCTCGGCGAGCTCGCTAGTAAGCCGGCATTCAATGAAAGCTCCGGTTCAGAAGATAATTACCTCGAGATATCGCAAGCTTTAAGCGATTTTTCCGCGTGCAGCAGCGACATTTCCGGGGAGTTACAACGGTTAGCGACACTTCCGGCTTCCGATCCGGTCGAGAACCGGGACCCGAACACGGAGCCGGAGCCTTGCGACGGGTTTCTGGAGAGAGAGACGTTCTCGACGGAGATTATCGAGAGCATAACGCCGGAGGATCTCCAGCCGACGGTGAAGCTCTGCGTCGACGCGTTATGCTCGTCCTCGGTGGCCGTGAAGCGATCGGCGGCGGCGAAGTTGAGGCTTTTAGCGAAGAACCGAGCCGACAATCGGGCTTTGATCGGAGAGTCCGGTGCGATACAGAAGCTCGTGCCGCTGCTCCGCTGCTCCGATCCCTTGACTCAAGAGCACGCCGTCACGGCGCTCTTAAACCTCTCTCTTCACGAGCCTAACAAGGCCATTATCACCAACGCCGGCGCGATTAAATCCCTGATTTACGTGCTAAAAACCGGCACGGAGACGTCGAAACAAAACGCCGCGTGTGCTCTCCTGAGCTTAGCTTTGTTAGACGAGAATAAGCTCTCAATCGGCGCCTGCGGGGCTATTCCGCCATTGGTGGCTCTGCTCGTAAGCGGGTCGAATCGGGGAAAGAAAGACGCTTTAACCACGCTGTATAAGCTCTGTTCGGTGAAACTGAATAAGGGGAGGGCGGTAACCGCCGGCGCTGTGAAGCCGCTTGTGGGGCTGGTGGGAGAGCAGGGGACTGGGCTGGCAGAGAAGGCTATGGTGGTGCTTAGCAGCTTGGCTGGGATCCAAAGTGGCCAAGATGCTATTGTGGAAGGGGGAGGAATTGAAGCCCTAGTGGAGGCCATTGAGGATGGCTCTGATAAGGGAAAGGAATTTGCAGTCTTGACGCTTTCCCAGTTGTGTTCGGATAGTGTTAGGAACAGGGCAATGCTTGTCAGGGAAGGTGGGATTCCTCCCCTTGTTGCCTTGTCTCAGACTGGAACTGCTAAAGCTAAGCACAAGGTGAGCTTAGTTTGCTGCCATTGATGTTCTTGGATGAAATCTTCTTTTTGGGTGAGGAGGAAACCCGCAGCCACTAGTCGAGGGTGTGTTGGGTTAACCCGCCTTATAATCTTAGTCGGTAAACCAGCTTAGGTTGCCCTTAAACCAAGAGGGCTGGGATTCGAATTTGTGACCTTGTGGTTACAAGTTTGTATGCTTAGCCATGTTGGCTAGGGTTACCCCTTCTTGGATGAAATCTTGATTAGCTACAGACATGATTTACCATAAACAATTCATTTTAAGGATTTTGGCTCAATCCATTCCTCAATTCTTAAAATGCTATTAGCATATAATTAGGTTTGCACTATCAGATTGAAAAAAAAAGGGTAGATCTTTGGATTTGTGTTTGTGTGGATGGCAAAGTATGAACTTTATTTGTATTGATGTCTAGATTGAAAAGAAAAGGATTTAGAAGATTTTGAAAGAAGAGCTGTCCTATTTGTTTGACATATATTAGTGGGAACTTTTTTTTTTTCCTCGATTTGGACAATATGGGAGTTGATCTATGCAACCTGTGTATTATATAATAAACACTCTCAATGCCTGGTGCTTTTTTGTATGAACTAAAGCTATAGATTTTCGACCATGCCACGGTGGTGTTATGATTGAAACATTTGAGTTCTTAACCATAATGTGTTTTAACTTTTATGTTACTTTTTGGCAGGCTGAAACACTTCTCCAACGCTTGAGAGAGCCAAGGCAGGAATCTTCTACATCGACTCCTTAAAGAGGTAGTTTAGATGGTCGTCTAATGTATTTTAAAGTGGTTTGTTGTACATAGGATGTGTTTGTTGAGTTTGTATAGAGTGGTTGAGAAAATTGGATGACAGTACAGAGGTGTGGAAATAAAGAGAATAGATAGGATGTAGTGATGAAAGAAAGCTGACTTTATAGGTGTATTATTATTGGATTAGGTTTTTAGAGGGGGTTTCGTTTCTCCCTTTTAACCGATATATCGGACTAGAGCTTGTTTTTCCTGGATTTGTTTTTGGGTTTCGGTGAGAGCATTTGGATATATATATGTGGGAGGGCAACATTCGGGATTGCTAGTTATATATGTCTGATTTTAGCGTGTAAAGAAACTAGCTTGGTGGGTTATTCTTGTGTTTGAGTTATGAATAATGTATGGAATATGTTGATATATTTTATATAAGTAAAGAAGTAGTATACATATTTCCTTAAATTCTATTCTGCAAAACTCACTTGTTCTTCTTCTTCCAAATACTGCCTACTGAACCAGTGCGGGCAAAACTCACCTGTTCTGTCTAGCTATTTTTGGGCTGACATAGCTTGATATGCAGTGATTATGTTAGATATATTTTATTCAGCTAGGGAGTTGTGGTCAAATTTGATGATCTTCATTTGAGCATGCCAGCCAATTCTTTGACCTTCCAAGATTTGACCCTTGATGGTAATTCTATTTAATTCATTTTGTAATTCTATTATTATTCTCTAATTGTCATTCTGTGAAGCAAATGGATGGCAAGTGAAAAAGGGTCACACAATCTTATTTGAATTCTAACTATCAATTGAATCAAACTTAGATTGGCCTATCAAGGATACTGCCAATGGCATGTTTAAAGTTTAAACTACTAGAGAATGCTCAAAGTAGTTTTTTAAATTAATTTTTTGAGAAAATCATTTTACATGTAATCAGTTATCACCTAATAACTAATTTATCAAACATCTTTTTACAATCAGCTAATACTATCAACTAGTCAAACTCTATCAGCTAACAAGTATTTACCAAACATCCCCATAATCTTATCTATACTCAATCATAATTGAAACAGTTACATGATCTTATTTAAATACTAGACTTCTTGCAGGGAATTGAATAAATTAAAGTTATGTTGGCCTAATTTTACTTTGATGACTCTTGGTAAAAAAAAAAAAGGTTGAATTTTGCCAACTCTAAACATGGCATTGCACGCCACCTGAATTCGGAAGCAATTGAGAGTGAAAGCTAGCTCGTTCTCACGAGATTCGAACTCTCGGTGATTCACGGTGACAATATTACACTAAATATATTGAACTAGTGATCTAAAATCGTGTGAAAATATTAATTCTTGAATTCGTTGGTATAGTAAGGGCTTTCCAAGCTGTTCTGCAGCAGACACATAATTATTATTATATATACCGTACCAAAGAACTTGATTACTTGCATAGTTGCATGGCTTTCCACTGTACGAATCATTAGACCGTTTGGAAAAATTCGTGTGAAACGATTGTTGCTATTATTACTTTATTAATGGATTAGCTGGCAATATAATGTTTTATGTTATTTGGATATGTCCTTTCCGAGGTAGCCTTCATCTTTACTTATCTTGGAATGGAATATGCTATTTGTACTTTTTTTTAAAAAATATTTTTAATTTTGTTTATTATAATTGTATAAAGGGAAAATGACAATATTTCCCTCTGTGTTATATACTTGCACTTTTTCCTTTTAAATTATTTAAGTGGCAGTTTCTTCCCCTGATATGTTAAATGGACTTATTTACCCTTAAAATAAATATTTCATTTATTTTTCTTCTCCAACAAATTATAATCATAATTTCGTGTTCAAATCGAACAGACACTATAACAATCAAATAGAAACGTTATGATGACAATTTAGAATCGGAACCAGATATTTAGAGTTTATTAAAATCGCGAACCGAAACTGCTCGTTCATGTTCTGAATTGACAAAATAAAATACATTAATTGTTGAATTTAGAATAATTTAAAAATAAGAAAACAATAAAATTTCAAAAGAAAGTTTGAACCAGCAATTCAAATTGGATCTGGAACCGTGAACTGACAGTTCAAAATCAAAACCAAATCGCGGTTATATATTCTTATATGTGAGAATCAAAATAAATGCGAAAAAGAACATACGTTATTTGTAATATTATAATTCTAATTTTAAGCTAATGCTAGTAGTTGTTCCGATTTGAACCTCCGGTTCACGGTTCAGGATCCATTTTTTTTTCAGTTCACGATTTTAATAAACGAAAACCCAAATATTGGGTTCTGGTTCTGAATCATAACCTAAAAAAATTTGATTTAATTGCTATAGTGACCAGTTCAGGTTGAACCGAACCGTGGTCATCCCTACGTATAAGCAACAATTTGTTGAAGAAGATAAATAAATAAATTTATTTTAACCATAGAAATGTCCATTTAATATATCAGGGGGAAAATCGTCACTTTTATAATAATGGAGGGGACAAATGTGGATGCATGAATAACTCAGGAAGAAAAAGTGCTATAAGCATATAACTCAGGAGAAAAAGTGTCATTTTTCCTTGTATAAATATCATGTTTGATTCACAAAATGAGTAGGAAATAGAATAATATTATCAGAAATAGGTATATTATGTTGTTTGATAAATTATTTTATTTATGAAAATAGTATTCATGTGAATGTAACTATTCCAAATTAAAGGGCGCAGGTTAATTCGAATTTTCTAAATTTTTTTTTTTTTTTTTGGTAAAGTAATATTTTTAGTTTATTCTTACCTATTTTAATTATGTATTATATATATTATAAATATATTCTACTACTACAACAATAAGAAGTGAAAATTACTTTTTTTTTTTGTCATTCAATTATACTTATGTTATAGACATAGTCCCTGAATTATATGTGTAATCATTTTTTTTTTTTTTAACTTTTAAGTTATACGCGAAGTGTTGATTTTGGTTCCTCAAAAACTATTAATGCTATCAATATATATGTCACTTAATAAAGTAGCCAATTTAGTCCTTTAGGAATTAAGTCTTTACCTCTGGAGGATAAAAAATGCAAATGTTCTTAATAATAAAAGTAGCCGCAGCAGCAACACAAAATTCAAACTTCTTGTGTCATAATTCTTTATGAAAAAAAAAAAAAAAAGAAGGCATTTTTAGTTATTTAGTTGCAACCGATGTATATATTTAGTCCTTCAATCATTTGAAATGTAGATTTAATCTATTAATTATTACCATAGTGGCAAATTTTATTCCTAAGAACTAAACCTACTACCAATATACCAATTAATAAAGTTGATGATTTATCCCTAAATGACTAAATTTGCCACTTTGATAAGTAATTTTTCATAACAAATAATTGATGAACTAAGTATACACAATAATCATGACTGAGAAATTAAAATGGTCATTTCTTCTTCTTCTTACATTATTATTAAGAGTTAATTCCATTTTTTGTTTAGATTTATAGGTGACAATCCACTTTTAGTCATTTTTTTTTTTAATTTAGAGCATCCATTTGGTCCTAGTATTATTGTGTCATGAACATTTTTAGTCTCTCATCAACAAAATCGTTGAAATTTCTTTAAATACAATGACATTTCAATCTTTGTTATACAAAGTGGATTGAGTCACTACTCACTATACATATATATATGAAAAAATATCATAATTAAAGACCTAAATGTCATTGTATTTTACAGAATTCAAACTGTTTTGTTTATGGAGAACCAAAAATGGTCATGCTACCATAATACTAGGACCAAATGAGGATGCTTTGAAAAAAAAAAAGAACTAAAAATGAATTATCACTTATAAATCTAGGACAAAAAATATAATTGTTATTCATAAATTTACCGACTCACGGACTCAGTATGAATTTAATAAATAAGATTATAAATTATCAATAAAATTAGCATAAACTTTTGAGGAGGTCCTGACTTTGCATGATAGATATATGTAATTCTATTTTGGTGTATGGGATGTTAAATTTGTTAAGATCATTGCATTTATAATGTTGTTTGTTTGTTTTTTTTTTTTTTTTTAAGCGTTATTCTTGAAAACGTTAACTTTCGAAAGTTATGTGAACATTTTTAGAATAGTTATATTTTTTTTTTGAAAATTTTCTGCGGTGCTTCATTAGAAAAATGCTGAAATAATGTCTGGTGGGTGAGTATCCCAGTACATAGTATCAGGTTGCTGATAAGCCGTAGTGGCTAAAGCATGAGCTAAATAATTGTCCGATCTAGAAATATAATTAAAAGAACATGAGTGAAAATAAACGGCAATTTGCTTGCAGCTATCAATGGCATAGCCAACGTAAGAGCGAAACGCAGTGGTTGATGATGTAAGGTAGCGTTGTAGTGTCAAACAATCCGTGTAGATCTCAATATTCTGTTCACCTCGATCCTTTAGCCATGATAAAACTTCCTTACACGCCAAAGCCTCAGCCATAAGTGGTGACGTACAGGCCGGTAGCGGCGCGGTTAGTGCCGAGATATAGGCTCCATCTCCATCTAATAAAACGGCCCCTACAGTTGCATTCCCTGTCTCGTGTAGATATCCCGCATCGACCCTGCATCTTCTCACTGGCGGCACAGAGGATCCGGCGGCGTCGGCAGCACCGCGGCCGGCGGTGGGACTCGCCTGGGCAGCGTGGCGGTTTTCTATCGGCAGCGTAGCAGTGGCAGTGGCAGCCACGGCTGGGCGGGACTGAGTCCAATGTTATTATATTATTATTACTAAGAATCTTATACTCTTTAAATTTAAGTGATGTGATATTTTTAATAATGAGTTAATACCCAAAATCGTCCTCGACTATAGTGGTTTTTCTCAATTTCGTCCTAAACGACTTTGGTGACCTAATATTGTCCCAGACTTTTGTGTTTCGCTCAATTTAGTCCTCCATTTGTTATTCCGTCAAATTAGTGTTAAATAAAGGGACAATTCAGTAATGTCAATATTGATCTCTCTTTACTTTCAACTTGTGAAGTGCGAAATTCCTCTTTCTTGTACGAATTACACCCAGAATTACTCCCGGACCTGCGAATCAAATTTTATATTCGCAGTTTTAGGAGTAATTCTGGGAGTAATTCGTAAAAAAAAAAAGGATTTCGCAGTTCACATGTCTATGGGTAAAGAGATGCCAATATTAAAATTATTGAATTGTCTATTTATTTAACACCAAATGGACAAAATAACAAATGATGGACTAAATTGAGCAAAAACATAAAAGTCTGGAACTAAATTGAGCGAAACACAAAAGTGTGGGACGATATTAGGTCACCAAAGTCATTTAGGACGAAATTGAGAAAAACCACAATAATCGAGGACGATTTTAGGTATTAACTCTTTTAATAATGTACGTGATAACTCAAATCAAACACGCTTTGAAAAAAAGAAGAATAATAC